TTATACATCATGTTAGAAATCATTATACATGTTAGAAATTATACCCTGATGAAGGTATTTACATATTTACATATATACATAATAGTAATAAATGAATATCCAACGTATATTTCTCGCTAACTCGAATTGTATACCAAGTTGTTATAATGTAATAAAATATTATGAATATACAATTTTGTAGCGATCGTTTAAACATGTGTTGTTGATATGTGGCTTTCACTAAAATTGTTTGAATTCAAATTCTTATTGAAACACTGAGGCGATTGTTTCAGAAATACGTACTACGTAAGATATTTTCAGGCCATTAACTGCTTACATGTTCTATGCAATTGATATGAAAGTTTGAATTCCAATTTGGAGATCAGCGAGTGCATTAAAAGGTCAACTTTAGAATTATGTTACTATAAATATATACTGAAATAAAAGTATACTTATGAATAAGATTTTATTCAGGAGATACCTGGTACAAAACGTGATAAAGATAATAATAATTGTACCACTGTGATATCAGGTGTGTTACAGTCTATATAAGGAAATTATATCTCATATATACCTCTATACTGATTTGTACTGATGAAATAGATCTGTCTTTACTTATCTATTTATATTTATACTTATACCGGTACTCTATATCCTTTCACAATCAGCTGATCATCAACTGCTTTCTAATTACTCAGCAAGGTGAAGGTTGTAGCCTCTAGGGTTGTCAAATGTAGACTAAATTAGCCTACTTCACACTTCACTAACTCTATTTGAACTTATCGTTGAAATTCAAACTTGACGAACTTGGATATTCATCATAGGTAAATTAATCCAAACCACATATCAATGCTATTGGATATTTCTTACTGATCACGGTTAAAAAAATCTGGAAATTTTCCGCGACGTTATCAATCCACTTTTTAGATAAATTTCCATCATTTGAAGTTATTGGAAAATTTATCAGGGCTAAGAAGGAATTGAAAATTTATCTTCCTTGCAAATACTAATTGTTCTTTGGTTGTCCCTCACAAGCCCTTTAAAACGCAAAGGGTAGACCCTTCTCGAAAAACCGCTTGGTCTGACGTTGTACCTTTGCCTACCATAAGAAAAAAGAAACGTCTCACCAAAAGTTAGTCAAACCCTATTAGAATGATATATGAACCTTTTCGGTGTCATCCGGAAGAATAACAGATCTGTACCTTTGACAAATTATCGTCACCGTTTTACAATTGGGTACAATTGTTGTTTGCGTCATTCAATTCCTAATGGTTATGGCATTTTTACATCGCGCCATATAATTTATAGAGCTTATTTGACCGCTATGCGCTCGCAATTCCGTGTGAACCCGACGGATATTCATATTCTATCCGATTTAATTTGTTCAAATGTCTCAAGTTATGGCCTCTCTGTGACATTCAACACTTCTAGCAAATTTTAGCCCAAGGACAAATTGTTCCATGGCTTACATTAACCTCATAAATTGGAAACTGAGACAAGAATTTATCTGTTCCTATTTCTGTTAAAATCATCTTTTATAAGAGGTTTCAAGTTTTATAATCAAAGGAATATTAAGTCTTTTTATCTGCAGTTATTTTTATAATTTGATGCATATTTTATGACTAATACGCAAAGGATGTATTATGGAAAGCGTGTCAATTCACAACTAGGGAAAATCAATATTCAACTCATTGAAAAAGGATTCCGTGGAAATTTACCAAGATTTCTAAGTGGAATGTCACACTCGTAACTCGGTGAGACGAAAAATAATAGTGTAGAATCCATTAACGTTAAATTTGTTGGAAGTCGATATTTAGTTGAATGGTTTGAATACATGGAAGGCGATATAATACATCACAAATGACGGATCCTAATATGCATGTTGATAATACAATATTGAAATCTCAATGCTCGCATTTCAGCTCATGCAAAGCTGTTCGCAATTAACCTACAAAAGATCCACTCTGACCTTTGTGAACTAATTCTCCTACATAAAGACTGAAAGCAAGGCCGTGAAGGTTCCTTTTTCTTCGAGGCAATTATTCTGTTGTATTTCATTGCAATGCTTTCTGTACCCTTCAAACGGTAACCATCTTTACCGAAGACATCAAAATAAGCGATATATTTTTGGGATAACATATTTATATTTTAATATTTTATTTTTAACACATTTTGTTGTCAAATTCAGCATGACGCAATTGCCAGGTAAGTTCACTGGTGAACGTATACTCATATTGACCATTCTTGAAAATTAAATTTTATGTTCATTCTAAGACGTAGTATCACTTTAAGTTCTTGTATTAAAGTACATTTCTTAAAACAGCAAATATATTGTCTGCACAGGAAGTGCACGCAACATCAGAAATAACCACTTTTCGATTTCCCTTTCCTGGGCAGTTTGACATATCAAATATATTTTCCCATAGGTACACTTCTACTGAATTTTTATTTTACAATAAAATTATAACTTATAATTGAAACTGAGAGTAATTTATAAACGTGACCCACTACTGAAAGAATAATGTGGTTATCTGGAAATGAGGTCAACTAACAGCTGATTATTATAACCTGTGACACACCTGAAGATTGTAAACCACTTTTTATTGACCAGTACACCCTCTTTTCTCTATTTTTCATTTCATACAGATATCATATTTCACTATTTCCAAACTAATTCGGAAGGTTCTACAATATGTTGAAGAAGAAAGTTACAGTGACCCAGAGAGTACACGTTAACAGTGCACAATCTGATCTAAATTTATATTATATGATTTTATAGTACATCTATTGATGTTAGACTACGGCTACCACTTAATGTTGTTCTTAATACTGTTAACATCTAAAACTAACAGCGATTTGATTATCATTACGATGCTGCATTTTAACAAAGGCTACATTTAGAACAGCATTGCTTCAGATGAGCAGTGATATATCTGTTACATAATTATTAAGGCATATAGAGCCATAGCAATGTTTTAACTGTATAGCAGTAAGCCTCAACAATACTTCAACTATTTATATGTAAACCACTACAGCAATGCTTCAACTATAAAAAATATTAATCACTGCAAAAACTATATAAAAGTAATTCACAGCAATGTTTTAACTATGTAGAGGTTAACCGCAGCAATGTTGTAACTACAGTTTATAACAATGCTTTACCTACATAGCAGTAAACCACACCAATGCAACAACTACATGTATATATAAGTAGACCACATGGTTTTTCTAATAAAATTAAACCACAGCAATGCTACAACTATAAATAAGTATAGTACTGCAATGTTTTTACAATATGAAAATAAAACACTGTAATGCTTCAACACACAGTGGCACCAGCCTCCTGAGACTGGAGGTACAAATAGGAGGCAGACTGACTCAATGGGAAAGGCGGAGGGAGGACTGAATTCAAATTGCGACAACGCTGTGGAAGCAACTTGTCGCAAAACTCTAATGGAGCGTCTAAGAGAACGTTTGCGAACAGTTATCCACAGAAATGCTTAAATGATGATGTCCAAATATATAATATTGCACGATTTGAATTTTTCATTTAACTATTCTAATTGTGATAGTGTTTAAGGGGAGATAAATTCAAAACAGATGAAAATCAAGACCATCTGAAATGGCTAAAATGAAGATCAAACTGTGATAAAATAGTGTTAGGTCCTTAACGCCACGTGAAATAATATTTATAACACAATTACAGCACACTTTCATTCTTGACGACCTTGTCTATCTTAAAGTCAAAATGTTTTCGTGTGATGTGTGCATTCGTCAATGTTTCAAATTTTCCAAAACTAGAACAGAAGAAAATACTTTTTTCGATTTTAGTTTCTAATTTCTAACACAGGGAACTTTATTTCAGTGTTTTTGATTGGAAAAGTTGAAACTTTGTTAACTGAATATCTGCAAGAAAGCGCTTAAATTATCTTCCTTCTGCCTCCTTCAATCAGGAGCCGCGGTGGCTCACTGAGTTAAACGCTTGCTCGCTAACCTGAAGGTCCAGACATAGGTCGAGATAATACCTTCGGAATTTTCAACACGGTTTCTCCCTGTCAGTGATGCAGGTAAGAGGGGCTGATGTGGAAAAAACGTCTAGTCGTTCGGATGGAACATTAAACCGAGACCCTTTGTGCTACAAGTTGTAAAACTCCATTCATTTCATTTCATTTTACCTTCTTCAATCAACCTCCCAGCGCTTGTCGTTTTGTATGCGACAGTGTTATAATAATTATTGTGAGTTATTGGAATTCCGACTTCATCGTCCCTGTAATTAATTATTTCTTGAGACGATGATGTTGCAATTCCAAAAATTTACTTAGACCAAAGGCACATTGACGTTTATACCATACAACTCAGAGCTTTTTCAAAATGTTTTTTACATTATAGATCCATGTTCCTTAGGTTATATAATTCGAATTCAATACCAATGTGATATCAGTTCTGACATGTTATAATACTACATGAGCCTTGTTGTGGTGACTTAAAAAATCTTATAAATATGGCCCTACCCATTCGGATATCGGAGAATGCTACACTTACAGAGTTGTAAGATGAAGAGTAAATTCTACCCTTTTTTGTAGGTACTTTGTAGAATATCCTGTAATGTCTCATTAATTTATGCAAAAATTGGATTTTAACATGGTGAAAATCCTCAAAAACTCTTATAAAAAGAGATATTTCAATTTTTTGGGCCAGATAATATCCCGATGCACCTACCTAAACACATCTTCACAATTTTCAAGGCATTACGTTTTCATCTTATACCTTGACTACAATGACCCATTTTCTTGTACGCCAACGATTACAGCCAATCTGAGCCCTTGATTTATTTCATGCATAATTATTTTTCAGTCTCTCTGTCGAGGGCTCAGATTGACTGTAATCGCTAGAGAAAATCCAATCAAATTGCTGCATTCACAATCTCTTGAAACATGAATGTGGGCCATTGCAGTCAACGTACAAGACGAAGACATAATACCTTGACCATTGTAAAGATGACCAAAACATAACGAATGACTGTTTCAAAACGGTTTATTAACCTATTTTACTGAGTACAATAGGCTGGTATATTAAATACACTTCTATCAGAAATACCAGTGTTATAGTTTGTAAAGGTATACGTCTTGTCAACGGGATCTGAAAATTCACAAAAATCAATTAATTAAAATTACATGAAAATGTCCAAGGATCTATCGGAAATTTTAGCTTTAAAACGTTAACTTTGAATGAGGTTATTACCCCATTAATAAATCACCATCTGGACTTAAGAAGTATATCTTGAAGTGTTCTCTCGGTTTAAATAGGCATGCATTTAAACTCAGTTAATTAGCTAATAAGTATATTTTAATAATTCACATTTTCAAAATTTTTTGGAGTAACTGGTGAACACTATACATGGAAGAGAAACGAAGTTACCTGATCCAACAACTCCTGAAATAGACTCGACTACTGGAACACAATTATCATTAAACATTATAAGTAAATCAGCAGTTCCTGCAAACTTCCATTTAAAAGCAGAAATATTCACTTGGTTTGGTGCAAAACCCATGTATGATTGGCCAATGAACTCTGCATCGTCTGAAATGTCAAATAAAAGGTAAATACATATCAAATAAAATTGACTACATGTCGATATCCATTGAAATAAGTTAACATTACATTACATTTATAGTGTTCAAGCCGAGTTGTTGTAGCAATAGATACAAACCTTATATTCATTCTTCTGTTAGAAGCTGGATATAACTCATTCCAATCATTTCGACTTACCTGGTACACAGTTGCTTGGCATATCATAAGTTAGATCTTTTGCCGTACATGTTGAAGTTGAGTCAAATATAACGAACATTTTTTTCTGGAAACAATGGAGGTATATTTATAAAACTCAACGAATACAACTAACAGTAAACCTATTACAAAGATATTGTCCATTTCAGCTGTCTTAAATAAATACTTTTTAAATGAAATGACGATAGTTTGAATATCTAAGTTGTTATCAACAATATCAATAATAAAATTTAATTATCAATATCATGTGTTCTCAAATATTAAGATATTTCAACATCACTTGTTCCTTAGTGTTTTTCTGATAATACAGACGAGAAAGATGTTGGATTATCATAATGAAAGGTGATACGGACAGCCCAAATTGAGATCCGATTGCCGAGAAAGTAAATAAAGTTTAATGAAAAACATATATTTCTCCAACAATTAGGTGTTCCAATACGTATGAAGGCCGTATTTGAGTTCTCATCCTACCAGCTGTTTTAGAAAACCAGGACATAATGCATAATAAACTAGCTCTCAGAACAAGTACCATGGCCCAAAGAATCTTTCTTCAATTTTGAAAGAGGATAAAGGAACTGAATCATTGAAAATTATGAACCCTTGGGCTCTATACTGGAAAGATGGTTACGCAAAAATGGAATATAACATTTGGAGCTATAGGCAGATTTGACAGTTTGTTTTTACTAACCTGGTTGAAATCTTGCACGACTCGTACCAATTTAGTACTGCTATTACCTGGTGAAAAACTATAGGTTTCAGTAGCTATTAATTTACTCGTAAAATCTTCAGCCAAGGTTGTAAATTGCTAGAAAAGAAATCAGGATACATTATAAAGATGTGTAACACGCTTTAAACATTCCTAGTGCAATTTTATGTTGGATGGACAGAAAAACCTGTCAAAACAGTTACAGATTAATGTTTAAAATCATTCAACGTGACAATTATTTTTTTTAGAACCAGTTTAAAGAACCAACAAAAGTTATCTTGAAAAACAGCTGACACACAGAAATAAAGAACTAAAATTGTAAAAAGTGTGGCAATGAAGTCAATAATAAAACGTTTCTGCATGTAGTATGCAGTTAGGGAAAATTACATGTGACTTCTCCATTTGAACTTCTAATTGTCAACCTGGACATGTAAGTAAAGTAAAATCACGCTAAATTTTGTTTGTGGGCACAATAGATTGTGGACCATTTTCAAAGGATTTTAAGAAAACTTAATTGGTGACAGCAATGGAACTGATAAGATCTCAGTCAAGTTCGAATTTGACGATTTTTCGATGAACGGATTCTGAATTATTGCCCTTAACTTAGAGACTACTGTTGATGTGATCATATATATTGATGAGATATTGGAAAAGTTTGAATTTCACTAAAAGTTTTTGAGTTATCAACCTTAACTTGTCAAATTTGTGCCCGAGCTCAATGGAATCAATTTTCCCCTCGATTTGAAACTCTGTGTGATCAATGGAATTGATAAGGTCTTGAGTAGGAAATCTTAAAATTTTACAAAGCTGCCGTGTGGACGTATGTTTACCTTGCCTGGCAAGCTATCTCCACTCCGACCTGTATCAATGACAGGGAAAGTCGGATTGCAGAATTCAGGGTTATTCTCTCGATGAAAGAGTCACCCCGTGGAAAATGGACAAAATTTTAGTCTTGAAAATCGAAAAGATTACTCTTTTGTAGTTCTTGTCTACTTTGTGAAAAATACTTACAAAGTTCCCTTTGACGATTTGGTTAGGTTCACCAAGGATAGCAGTAAATTGTTTGTCTGTGCAGCATTTTTGAACAGCACCAGTAAAAATTGGTAACAAAGCTAAAAGGATAATAAACTTCATGACGAAAGGAATATACTTGTTCACTAGTCTGATCCCGAATGACGGCTGACTGAAAGTAGAGTAAAATATAAGTAGAGTAAGGGATAGAAATGTAAATATTGATAACGTTAAGCCAACGATCAATCAATCTCAATGTGAAATTCAATACTTTCTAAGGTGACTTAGGTTATATTCGATAAGATATTACATTATAATCTGCTTACTGATTAAACTCATTTTTTATTACTTACCAGTTCAATAAAGACAAACATATGAGATGAACTTCAAGAGAGATATTCTTAATGACCAAGAATAATTATAAACTTTAAACACTAATTTGTTTGATCACTCCAGTTAAAAGCGAGGATGTGGTACGAAAAACCTCAAACCTCATAGTCAAATCTTGTAGGGCGCTCTTCTGCTCGCATAAACTCATCGTGTCCAAACCCCCATTCGCCATACTTCCTCGGCTAATGTAACCATCTCAAAACCCGTATTCGTGATACGATGGCATAAACTTTAAAGCACAACTTAAGTATCTTTGGTGATCGATTTTTAGTCCATCATCAAGAGAATGAAAAGCAGCACCTGATATCCCCGGTCATCTGGTCTCAGCAATAATCAAATAGTCTACACCTCTAAAGTGCGCCATTGATCATGCTCCGATCTTCTCGTCATTCCCTTTATCATCTTTTCTTCATCTCGTCATACCGTTTATTATTTTCCCTACTTGACTTTCTTACTTATCTTCCCTCATCTCATCATACCATTTATTATCGTCCCTCTTCTTGCCATTCCATTCATTATCTTCACCCTTCTCGGAGCCAGGTTTACGAGGGGTGGCGAAATATCTGAGATCGCCCGAATTTCTAACATATAGTTATGAGATTTTTAAACCAAAAACTTGCTTTCGGGGCTGCGAGGGGGTTAGGGGGGTGATTGCCCCTCTTCATTTCTTTAATCATATTTCATTTGTTAGATTTTAGGTATCTTGAGAAAGTACACGTTTTTTTAATCTAAAGGGAGATAAGGAAGCTTACTGATATGCTATAAACATTAAACTATAGTTAACTTGATAGGTCATTAATATGACAGTGTCAGGGCCTTGCTTATTGGCTTTTCTCTTCTGCTTACAATATTTTCCTGCTTTTGGAGGTAAGTTAATTATTCAAAATATAAAGACTTAGTAACTTACTATATTCCTAATCATTTCAGCTTTTATTTCATATCTTTTCAGCGCCTACAGGCCAGAATGGTTTTTCGCTTGCTTCGTATTATAACGACCATATGGTGCTACAGAAAGCCCCGGCTAGATCTAATGTATGGGGTTATTCTACAAAAATAGGCGATACAGTTCAACTTACTATTAGCAATAACCAACAATTTTCCAAGACCGTTGAAACAAAGGTATACAGCTATATACAAGGCCATATGATGACAAAAAATTTAAAGTTAGTTTGCGAAATGTCCAGTAACAACACCATTCAACAAGTCTAGTGTCTGGAAAGTCAGATATTCATGTTCATAATGCCATAGTTCATCTCATCTTCTTGTAATCAGCCAGAGTGAAGCCATGAACTGCTTTTATCAATAATCCTTGTTGTTAGGTTGTTAGCGGGCCAGAAGGTAAAGGAACATGGAAAGTAACACTACCACCAATATCTGCTGGTGGTCCATACCACATCTCTGTTAAATCATCATTAGCTACACTTTCTATTACTGATGTTTTATTTGGTGATATTTGGATTTGTTCTGGTCAGAGTAATATGCAGTTTACATTATCTATGGTAATTTGATCCCTTTCACTTGATAAGGATCCTATTTCAGATCTGAATCCTAACTGTCGACTTTACTCCCGGAAGAATCTGAAAGCAACTGGATTTCAACGACTGCTGGCACTGATCAATACCTGGGCCCACCAAATACCAAAAAAACACATTTTTAATCAGTTGCTCCACTTCCAAGCATGTTTTCGTTGATCACAGTCGGCAAATTTTTCAATTTAAAAGCCCTTTGTTCGTTGGCCATGTCATTGCCGCCTTTTGAATATCGGACACCATACAACTAGAGTCTTTTGAATTCTTTCCAGACTATGCTCTGTCTATTAATTATATCCGACAAGTATCAGAAATATTGCTCTCTGTTATGGCTATTGTTTAAAAATTTTCAGGAGTTTGGTTAAGTTGTTTCAGGTCTTATTCTAACTATTTTGTATGTTCTCTAGGATATAAATGGCTCCCAATCAGAAATTGATAATGGTCACAATTTTCCAGACATTAGATTGTTTACCATTCATCAGAAAGAATCCACTACAAAGAAATATGATTTAATTGATGTGGAACAGCATTGGGCTGTACCTAGTAAAAGTATGTTACTAGAATGTCATTTTATTGATGCAAACAGTAATAATACTTTATATACCTGATTGTATTTACTGTAGAGGATACAAGAATACGGTGGTAGAGCATCTGTTACCTGTTCTGAAAACCAATTTATGTGCAGTGTATTAAAGTCATTTTCTTTTCAGCTACCCTTAAAAGTTGGAATTGGGGCCATTTTTCAGCCGTTTGTTGGCATTTTGGAAAACAAGTTTACCAGATTGTGAAGCATCCTATAGGGTTGATAGATTCTGATTGGGGAGGAACATTAGTGGAATCTTGGTCTTCTCCAGATGCTATGGCAAAATGTGGCAGCAAGTTAGAACTCATCTTTAATTTATTAACAAGTCTAATACTGTTTTTTTATTTATCGAACACTCAGCAAATTAAATGTAGGTCATTTCGTGAATAGTGCAGAGCATACAGGTATGCAAACTAGCAGCTTTATTCTGAGTAATACCATGTAAATTGATATAATACATCCTTAATCCCATTGAACATATTTTCACGTGAGGTGAAATCAATGAAAGCATATTGACATTATGGAACATATATTGGCAATGACTCTTTCAGAATGTTTCACTATGGACCACAGCCTGGGTTTCCACGAGAAGCTAGTGTCATATGGAACAGTATGATTCATCCATTATTACCATTTACTATTTATGGTGTGATTTGGTATCAAGGTAATTTAGTAGATGTAGTAGCCTACCATTTAAATTAGAGTTTGTGTCACCATGTAGGTGATTTTCTTTATGTCCAGTTACTGAAATACTCTTTTGTTGAACCAATGTCGATAAAAACTTATCAAAAATCCAAAAAAGGTTAAGCTTACCTGCAAGGAAAATGCAGCAATCCATTTCAACCTGTTGATTACTTTAAAGGTGAAAGCAACTGGCAGAATCCACAAGGTTACACCTGTAGTTTCCCTGCTATGATTGATGACTGGAGAGAGAAATTTCATCAACAATCTGGTGGTCAAACTTCTAAAAACTTTCCATTTGGTTTTGTTCAGGTAAACTATATTTTTCTAATCACCGAATAATGATTTGTACGATTCTTTTCGCTTTCTCAATAAATACAATCGCGGCAGTCAAATACTGTAGAGATGTTAGTAAGAACATTGGAAATTGATAAGCTTGTTTAGCCACTGTAACTTTCATTGCAGCTCGGTACCAACCAAAACAATGACAACAAAGGTGGTATGGTTGAGGTACGAATATCTCAAACAGCAGGGTATGGCTATGTACCAAATAAAAGAATGAATAATACGTTCATGGCTGTTGCTATGGATCTTCCAGATTTTAAATCTCCGATTGGAAGGTAAATAGCTTATAGCCCCGTCACATATGCGATCTTACTTCGATCAAATTGTACTGGGTCGCCGGAAAACGTGAAAAAAAACGTAAGAAAAGTCCCATAAAATTGCAAATTCTATAATAGTCGTAACGTATTGTTTTCATGGAGATGGTACGTAGCTTCTCAAAAGATATTCTCGATTCCGTGGCGATCTCAACGATGATATATGATTCTTCCTACACGCTAATGCGACGCTTATTGCGACCTTTACACTCTCTGGGCTAATGTTCCGTCGCCGTAGCAGCTCAATAAGGAATAAGGGCGCCTTTCTGGTGTGACGGGGCTTTGAGACGTAGACAGATAAACTGCCAATGTTCTTCAAAGACATAGTAAAGTTAAAACATGTTTTTCTGTTACCCGAAAAATCTATATCTTGGCACTAATGTATCGAAAGGGTCTTTTTCTAACTTTTTTTCATATTTCTTTTGATCATTGAGACTTAATTTCAGTATCCACCCACGTCACAAAGATATAGTTGGAAAAAGATTGAGTTACGGAGCTTTATCTGTGGGATATCATATGTCTAGCACCAAGTTTCAGGGACCATTCCCAAGTAAGATAACCAATAACAAAGGGTCTTCAACTCTAACGATAGTTTATGATAATGACAAAACAGATTTAGATGTCAGAAGCAACGACGGATTTGAGGTAGATATAATCTATTCGGTAAAAGAGACTCGGGTGCTTTCAATCTGTAAAAATACTGGGGGTTTCAATGAGGAATTCAACGCCTTTCTGAAGCTTAGCTGGCCAAATAGTCTTTAAATGATAAAGGCTGACCTAAAAGTCGCCAATTGAGAAAAAAATGTGAGAGGGATAGCTTCCCTGGTGAATTTTCCCAGTGTAACCAAACAAACCAGGTCGTTCGGCCTAAATATTATAACAGATCACAATTTATTCGAAATAGGCCTTGATAGGCTACTACACGTATTTTCGTTGTTGTTTTCAGATATGTTGCACTGATAAAGTTAAAGGTTGTGATATATATAATGGATCCTGGCATAAAGTCACAATATCATCATCAACAAAACACAGTGTAACATTACCTTATCCTTCACAATGTCATCAAAATAACAACAAAGCTCATGCTTTAAGATATGATTGGAGGGAGTCGCCATGTCCATTTCAGAAATGTGCTATTTATAGTGCTGTTAATAGTCTACCAGCACCACCATTTCAACAATATCTACAGGAAACAGAAACACATATTATTGGTTAAGAGGCAAATTATATTGATTTTGATACCATTTCTGTCTTCTTCTTTGTTAATCCTGTATACGTGTATTTACCAAATGCTGTTCACTTGCAAGGGCTCTACAGATGCTCCATATGGGGTCATGATCCGCATATGTTTTCCCAACGATCACATATTTGCAAGTCTTCGTTTTTGCTCCTTCCTGCCTTGCTCTTCTTATAGTTATTCTTCCGATTGACTGTTCCAGTCTGTCTCCTTCTCCTTAACTCATCGACTTAACATTGGTTCTTCTTCCAGACTGACCTCGCCATTTCATTGATTCTTACTCCAGTTTGTCTTCAGTGGCTCAACTAGATGTGTAGGGGCCCGTGGACATAAGAGGGTTGGGGCTGTACTACCTATAAATGTAATACCCACTATAAATGTAATACCCACTATAAATGTAACAAAAATCAACCATAAATGTAATACCCACCATAAATGTAATAGTCAACAACCATAAATGTAATAACCAACCCCACCAAAAATGTAATAATATTTAACCATAAATGTAATAACCAAAACCCACCATAAATGTAATACCCATCAACCATAAAGATAATAAATCGCGCGGTGCAGTTATAAAATAGAGTAATTCAGCAGAGGTCGCGGAGTGGGGGGGGGAGGCTGGTCCATAAAATGTCATTTTGTTTTCATTCCAATTTAGGTTCAATCTAAATGCATTCTGAAGAGCAACGTTTCTAGTATTACAATAACCTGAATAAGATGTTAAAATAAGTGTACAAATTTAACTTTTTATTACTAAAATTATTTGACATAAACAAGAAAAGTAACATTTGAAAGGAATGAGTCATGATCTGGACTCCCAAAGCTAAATCCATAACAAAACATTATCATAACAAAATACACAGAATAATTTAGCTTAGATGAGTTTGTGGGCATATTAATTAAACGTTAAGGTATGTATTTTGTTTTAAAATGTTAAAGCTTCAATTAGGCACATTTCAAGTAAACACACTCTATTTGGGCACACTCTTTTTAATTCAGCACTATGTTATTTAGGCACACCTGGCCAGTGGCGGCTTCAAAAAGGGGGTGGGACATAGCCCCGAAATGCTCAAGAAGGGAAAAGCGAGGTCACTTCATAGTTGAAGAAAGCAAGGCATAGGTCTGGTATCACATATTCAAATTGCATGAAATGCATGCTTTTTCAAGTGGGAAGATGCTACCATATCCCTTTACAATGGTTTGGTGCCTTCGACGCTCGCTTCATTTAAAAAAAATATATATATTTTACAGTGCCCCCAATCCCCCAAACATCCGCAGCCGCCAATGCACCGTACCTTTCGGCATAAGTAATATAGACACAAAAGGTTAGGTATAACCAACGCCCTCTGCGCATCGAGACGACTTTCCAGCCTGGAGAGATTTGTCAGATTTTCAGCCTTGTTATATAGTATTTCTGTCCAAGTTAGATAAGATGAGGAAAAAAATTGGAATGAAAAAAAAAAAAAAAATTATGATCTCTTCAAAGACAACAGGTTTTTTGCCTCATAGAAAAAATACCCTAGTTACAGCATAGAACACACCCAATAAGAAAAACGTGAGGTTATTCTAGACGAAACGAAATAAAGATATTTACCATAGATAATGTAAACTGCATATTACTCTGACCAGAAGAAATCCAAATATCAACCAAATACACTCCGAGACAGTTCGGAACGTTTGTTTAAAGAAGTGTTCTTGGGGGCATTAATGATCGAAAGCTTTTCGGTTAGACTCCGGTTACATTATCAAAAAAGTATTCTACCAAACTCCTTCCCCATGGGTATATTTAACCAATCACAGCTTGTCATGTATAACCCGTTTCTTGGTGAAATAAGGAACAGTCACACAGGAAATCCCGAAGATGTTTGAAAACCTTCTTGCGTTTGTGGCAAAGGGGGGTAACTGGGTCTCAGCCTACAGACGACAAATAGAGCTGTCTAATTTGGCTAATTTGCCCAAATCGATAGTTCTGTTTAGTCTGGAAGCTTTTATTGTCAGGGCGCCATTTTTAGTCAGTGTTCGTTTTGTCATCTGCCTGTTAACATCAAATAAAGTTGTAGTCAACACCGTATAACTTTGTTTTTTATCGTGCCATGTCTTCAGCCATGTTCCTCGCAGCCCCGTGAGAAGAGATGCTCATATTGCTCTACATGATATATTTTGATATTCCACAATCTCCCTATTTTGCTGTATAATTGCCTTGAGAATGTTCAAGGTTTTGCTTTATCAGTCAGATAACTTCTTATAAAAACCTTTTCTTATATCCGAAGTAGAATAGACCTCTAGCAACCTGTCAACATGATAATGTCAGGAGCTTTGTTGTCTTTTCTCTTCTGTTTACAATATTTTGCAACTTTTGAAGGTAAGCTTATTGTTCAATCTAAAGAATTTTCATGCTCCCGTGTGTTTATATCTATTATATCAATTCCACTTTGTTTATTTTTCATAGCACGAACAAGCCAAAATGGTTTTTCGTTTGCTTCGTATTATAACGACCATATGGTGCTACAAAAAGCCCCGGCTAGATCTAATGTATGGGGTTATTCTACGAAGATAGGCGACACAGTTCATCTTACTATTAGCAATAACCATCAACTTACCAAGACCATCGATACAAAGGTATACTGTTTTACATATCTCAAGATGAATCCAATGAATCTCATGCAAGAAATTTAAGCACTGAATGATGGAAACTCAATAATGTTATAGTTTCTTCGTCTCTGTTTTCATATCAGAACCCATCCACCTTCACTTCCACGAAAAAACAAGCTAATGAATCAAAATAAAAAAATGTTAAAACCAAAAGTACTTTTTGCAAGGTTGTTCATGGACCAGAAGGTAAAGGAACATGGAAAGTAACACTACCACCAATATCTGCTGGTGGTCCATACCACATCTCTGTTAAATCATCATTAGCTACACTTTCTATTACTGATGTTTTATTTGGTGATATTTGGATTTGTTCTGGTCAGAGTAATATGCAGTTTACATTATCTATGGTAAATATCTTTATTTCGTTTCGTCTAGAATAACCTCACGTTTTTCTTATTGGGCTTGTTCTATGCTGTAACTAGGGTATTTTTTCTATGAGGCAAAAAACCTGTTGTCTTTGAAGAGATCACAGCGCTTTCGATAGACTTCAAACAGAAATCACCTTTATTATTAGGGTTAAAAATAAATCCCTTTTTTGTCAAATTCAGCATGAGGCATTTGACTCATTTGCCTTGATAAAGATACGGCCCTGGTGTTCCAATTCGACAAATACACTTGTTTTTAATGTGATTAGTCTCTTTGCTATTTACTTTTATTTTCAGGATATAAATGGTTCCCAACAAGAACTAGAAAATGCTCACAACTTTCCAAACATTAGATTGTTTACCATACGCCAGAAACAATCCAACACATTGAAATATGATTTAATTGATGTAGAACAACATTGGGCTCTTCCAAGTAAAAGTATGTTACCCTATTGCCTAACGTCGCCATTCTTTAGTTGAGAATATCAAATCGGGTGATAAATTTGTTGTTTGCTCAGAAAACCTTGTTTTAAGGCCATGTTCGCCATTTTCGGGGGTTGATTTCAGTCTTGAATATAATGTAAATAGTCTTCAGAAGTATTAGAACTGCAGGAAAATCATACAATCCCTTCAAATATACCTCAAACTAGAAACTAAGAGAATCTTTTTCGTTTCATCTTTCCTGATAACATGGAAATAAAGCTTTGATATGCAGTTTTTATTTTCTGTTTATTATTTTCCTCATTTCAGATTCTCTTAAAAGCCACGACTGGAATCACTTTTCAGCTGTTTGTTGGCATTTTGGAAAACAAGTATACCAGACTGTGAAGCATCCTATAGGGTTGATAGCTTCTGATTGGGGAGCCACATTGATAGAGTCTTGGTCTTCCCATGATGCTTTATCTAAATGTGGCAACAAGTAATGAATTTTGTTTCTAAAAGTATATTCAATCTAATATTTTGTCCAAAAATAAATTGAAAAATATTTCATGGGATTGTAAAGAGCTTTACTAAATTTTGGCTGTTTATCGGTGACACTGATAGAATCAATTTGTACCATTCAAATTTTCAATTAGACGTCTGTAGTTCCTGAAATTTCACTAAAACTACATTTTTATGTGTTTGATGACGTCACCAATTGCAAAATATGCGTGTATCACTTAAGACCCTTCGCGATTAGTGACGCCATCAAACACTTAATTCTAGTGAAATTGCTGACGCCTGATTGAAAATGGTGTAAATTGATGTTATCAATAACCCAGATACATAAAATAAATAAAAAAAAAATTAAGGTTGTTCGATCAGCTGGTGAAGCTGATATTATTTGATTGATATAATTATGTTTGTTATAGATTAGGACAAAATATAATATTCAGTGGTAATGTCTATTTTAGAATGTTTCACTATGGGCCACAGCCTGGGTTCCCACGAGATCCAAGCGTCTTATGGAACAGTATGATTCATCCATTATTACCATTTACTATTTATGGTGTGGTTTGGTATCAAGGTAAACTTAAAAGTTTTAAATTTATGAAATAAAATAAAATAAGTTTTAAAAAAAATGGTGTCAGATTTTGCGTCAAAGTGTATACTTTTCAATTTTGGTCGGAAAATTTTAAACCTATGCATTTAAATCATATTTGCAAACCTAAAATAAATTCGCCCAATATACCATTCTAACTTTACCCTCGAGGGATCCAAAATCAGATGGATAGTTGATGGCTACATTAAACAGTAGGCTACATTTATCTTTCAATCATTCTTTTCAAGGTGAAAGCAACTCGGCAAATCCACAAGGCTACACCTGTAGTTTCCCTGCTATGATTGATGACTGGAGAGAGAAATTTCATCAACAATCTGGTGGTCAAACTTCTAAAAACTTTCCATTTGGTTTTGTTCAGGTAAACTGTTCTTAGATTTTTCAAAGAACTAATGCAGTCGACATTAACCCTATATCAAATGAAATTTTAAAGACTCAATCAAATCATAAAATCCGCCGCAACTCAACTGAAAAGATTTTTTTTCCAGCTTGCTACCAAAGGGAAGAATGACGTTAAAGATGGTATGGTTGAAATACGTATTTCTCAAACAGCAGGATATGGCTATGTACCAAATAAAAGAATGAGCAATACTTTCATGGCTGTTGCTATGGATCTTCCAGATTATAACTCTCCTGCGAAAGCGTAAGTTGTATGGAACAACAAGTTGTTTACGATTTGGTTTGTAATAAAGACGTAATAGATTGTTACACAACCATTATACTGGTTTGTTTACCATGAGTTGTCTCAAATCATAGAAGTAACAGATTGAAAATAATCTTACTTGTTTTCAATTTATTTTCAGTTTTCATCCACGCCACATGTACAAAAAAGCACGTTTACAAATTTTTCATTTTTCAAATTGTTTTAAATCGTTGACATATAATTTCAGTATCCACCCACGTCACAAAGATATAGTTGGAAAAAGATTGAGTTACGGAGCTTTATCTGTGGGATATCATATGTCTTGGATTAGGTTTCAGGGACCATTCCCAAGTAAGATAACCAATAACAAAGGGTCTTCAACTCTAACCATAACCTATGATAATTACAAAGGAGATTTGAATATTAGAAGCAAAGATGGGTTTGAGGTAAGCATTTTTCAGATTACTACATGTATACATGTATAAGATTATGTAAAAGTCACAAGATTACAATCCAACTACCAGCTAATACGACTACCAACAACTTTCTCGTTTGCGATATCAGCAACCGCAAGATTTCCACTTAACCGTCTTCACTAGTCGTAGAACGGGGATAAACCTTAAGCGTTTGTTTAATAAACTACCACTTGCAGAAAACTTTCCCATTCAGCTAGGAGACTACATTTCTTATTACCACTAACAATAATTTATTATCGATTCCTGTCTTCAGATTTAAGGTGCAGAAGCGTAGGACGTAAAACTCCATTCATTTCATTTTTTTGTTTTCAGATTTGCTGCAGTAATCAAGCTAAAGGCAAAGGTTGTGGTATATTTGATGGATCTTGGCATAAAGTCGCAATATCATCATCAACAAAACACAGTGTAACATTACCTTATCCTTCACAATGTCATCAAAATAACAACAAAGCTCATGCTTTAAGATATGATTGGAGGGAGTCGCCATGTCCATTTCAGAAATGTGCTATTTATAGTGCTGTTAATAGTCTACCAGCACCACCATTTCAACAATATCTACAGGAAACAGAAACAAATATTATTGGTTAAAAGACAAATAAAATTATTTTTTTTCAAACCATTCCTTACTTAATCCTTATAGGATATCTGTTATTAAATACAAAGAGTATGGTGGGCCTTAAAAATCTGAAAACCTATGTGGGACCTTCGTGACTCAAATGTACACTATTGTGATATTAGGAGGAGAACTGCACCACATAATCATTTAATACATACTCATACAGAAAATCTGACCAGAAAGAATATGTATCAAAAAATATCAACACGAATCTTGATGTTTTGTCTCGTGTTTCTTTTTCTCTGAATAATTCCACTACCCATCCATGATCTGACGAATTTGTTATGCATCTCATTGAATAATAGAGAGATCTTGTCATATAGTTTTGACACCACGGATGAACAAAGATTCATTTCTGCCAAGATTCAACATCCAAATTTGTGGTCATCATACCTTTAATATTCCAACAAACAAATGCTCTGTTCCTATACATTTCCAATTTTAGGATATTTATTGTTCAAACAAGCTAGCTTGCAATTGCAATGTCTGACAATTTATAACATTGTTTCGATTAGTTTGCATAAATTATATCAACTATGAATGCTAAAATGAAACAGAAAACGATATATAAATAATCTGGTCTGAATAGTATCTTGATATTCTAAAACATTGGAAATTAGTATTACTCAATTGAGATCAACTCATTTACATAATCCTTGATATCTTATCTTCCCTCTCCCTCTCTACAAGATTAGACTAACATTGAAAAGTGACACAAATAGGTTATCAGCGATAAGCCACCGTAAAAAGAACATCTGTAAGTGATACTTAAAAACTTCATTTTGTACATTTATGTTAGAAAATGGGGGTTATCTGGCAGAGTTTATTCATTCTATTGTTGGTTCACAAAGGTAAGACTGTTATTTTGTTTATATCAAATTTTGAATTCCAATACATTATCATTGTTTCAGACATCTTCTCAACGCGGCATTACGAGTGTACGCCCATTATGAAGATGGGTTGAAGCGGCCGACGTTATCACAAAGCACCGTTCTGTTCTTTGGCTTAACTGGTTACACAACTTGCGTTTGATCTTTCAGCTAAATCAGATGCGACTCAGTTATCTTTACCATCGTACTATGGTGATCATATGGTCCTACAACAGGCTCCTTCAACGGCCAATATTTGGGGTTTCTCTAGTAATTTAGGAGACACGATAACAATTCAACTTAAATTCACCTCATTGGTTCAGCAATTAACTGCAACTGTAAGTACACATGTGAAAGACAAAAAAGCTAAAAAAAAAAATTAAAATATCTGACCGAGATCAAAAATCTTTATTCTACTTATATTTTGTTTCGGGCAGACTATCATAGAATTTGCAAAGCTTGAGTTTCTCCCTTTTCATCTAAATGTTTTATGTATAATGCAGGTTTCACAAGGTCCAGATGGAAGAGGTGTTTGGAAAGCATTATTCAAGCCAGTACCTGCTGGTGGTCCATACCTTATTGACATCAGAGATACACACAGCAACCAAATACAGATAAATGATGTGATGTTTGGTGATGTATGGGTTTGCTCTGGTCAAAGTAATATGCAGTTTACATTACCAATGGTAGGTCTCCATGATCTTTATTCCGTTAAATCGAATTAACTGTACCTTCAAAATTCATGAAGTCCAAAAAGTCATCGAAAATCCTTTGATTTCAGGTATTTAACGCATCTTACGAAATCGAAGATGCGAAGAACTATCCCGATATAAGGTTATTTACAGTTGCCATGGAAACAGCCACCACACCTCAATATGATTTTATAAGTGTTGAAGAACCTTGGTCGGTAGCTTCACCAGGTAAGTGGAATAATAGGATTTAATGAAAATAGACCTACTCTTGCTTTTTTTTATTATCTCGGTGAGGTCTTCAGTTTTTACTTGTGTACTAAGAGTTGTTCCTGCTTAGAAGCTTACAATTTCTCCACTTTCTATCACAAATTATCTGGTCTCAATCTTTGGCATCTCTGTCAAGCACTAAAACAATTACTTAAATTTGTAGCTAGTGCTGGAAATGGAAATTGGACCTATTTTTCTGCTGTATGTTGGTTATATGGTAAATATTTGTACCAGACATTAAAGAGACCAATTGGACTCATAGCATCTGACTGGGGTGGTACTGCCGTTGAAACATGGTCTTCACCAGATGCTTTGAAAAGCTGTGGCATAACAGAGGAACCAAAGTAAGTAAACTTTTACAAATGAACATTAATAAGCAATTCAAAACTCATGCATATATAGAGCAATATAAACTTCTTATCAGAAGTGTGTACATCAGTACGTTAATGGGAAAATACGTAATTACACACGTTTCGCCTTTTAGATCCATATCAAAATCAAAAAGAGCCACACCAACTGCCCATTCTGTATTGTGGAATGCTATGATACATCCGATGTTAAATTTTACAATTTACGGCGCTATTTGGTATCAAGGTTGGTCTGATTTGGGTTAACTCTTTGATTGATTTCAGCACAATACTCAAAGAAATTCTCAGGAAGTTAAAAAAGGAAATCATATCCATTTAGGCCTATCGGTTGGTGGAAAAAGAACGTATATATTGTTATCGCGTTGACTTAAAACAGTGTAAACCTATAATGCCTGCTGCTGAACTCGATGGAGAAATTAAGTAACGTCACCTTTGACACAATCAACCCAGTAAATGTTTCAGTCATTGTCTGTATGTCAGATTAAAAGCTTTCTGGGCATTCTATGTATTGGTTTTCACTGAGGTATAGACCATCGTATATAATTTTTATCTTTTCTAAATTACAGGTGAAGCTAATGCTGGCAATCCTCTTGGTTATAATTGTTCATTTCCTGCTATGATTGATGATTGGAGATTAAAGTTTAGTTCAGCATCTGAATATACCACCAGCCCTAAATTTCCTTTTGGATTCGTCCAGGTAACAATACTTATCCATATCTATCATAGATTATATATTATATACTTAAAGTCTTGATCGTCAAATTATACAGCATCATTGGCTTTTGTCAAATATTCAAATAATTTTGAGGTCTCGTTTGTTTATTTAATAGCTAGCTGGTAATGCTAATGATCCAACTGTTTCGACAGGATTTCCAGGAATAAGATGGTCCCAGACTGCCAGTGTTGGTTATGTTCCTAATTCTAGATTAGAAAATGTTTTCATGGCTGTAGCAATGGATCTACCAGACTTTAAATCACCATTTGGCAGGTAGTTTTTTTTTTTTTGTCCAAATCTCAATTAACAAATACATACTTTCATATCATGCCGAATGATCATTTCTAGATGAGCACGTATGTTCGCATTGTTACAATACGACGATCTGTCAATCATTTTGTACATATATGTTGCCCTTGGTTCCTAAAACAAACCCCTCCTTACATTACGTTACCGTTTCTATCATCGAGTCATCATATTTCAGTGTCCATCCACGAGACAAACAAACTGTTACTAGTCGGTTAGTGTTATCTGGATTGTCTGTTGCCTATGGTTATGCCAAAAACTTCCAAGGGCCATTTCCTTCAAATATTCAAGTCACTAACCAGAAATCAACCATTGTCATCACATTCGAAAAGGTCCAGAACAAATTAGAAATTCAATCCAACTCTGGATTTGAGGTAAGCCAGCATATTTACCTTTGCCTTAATCTGACCACAAAAATATGCGATTGCACCACTACTTGAGTACGATCTTTCCTATCTTAACCATTCGCAAAAGAAAGTTTATAACGAAGAGTAATCAAATTGATTTTGCTGATTCAACAAAGCTATTTTTATTCAAGTATTAAATCTTACGATAGAGCAGAGAATATTCAATTCAGGTCAAGTGTACTTGGTGATACCTTAATCACATTAAGATAAGACCGACCTATGTATATTTACATATCAAAACATCCAAAGTGTTTATTGAACTTCAAATAATATTTATGTTTCACATTATACAGGTTTGCTGTAGTTCATCCTCTGATGCCAGTGTTTGTGATCAAGCATCTTTAACCCCATGGAAGCCAGCACCTATGTCATCTTACACAGCTAATACTGTCAGTCTACAAATACCATCTAGTTGTAATGGGTTAAATCTGTTGTATTTACGGTATGCCTGGAGAGAATCACCGTGTGATTATAAGAAATGTGCTGTTTATAGTGGTGGAAACAACTTGCCTGCTCCTCCATTTAAGATGCCTTTGAACTCCGTGGTCTAGATGATCTCCTTTTACGTTTTAATTAAAAAAAATTGACTTGTTTTGATTGAACAATTTTTATCAATATTGTTCGGACTAGGATCAGAACAAAACAAAAGGCATATGTGCGATATATTATGATTAAAATTATAAACAGAAATCATTTTCCATGATCTTGATAATGCATTGTAATACCGATAATCCATTCTCTGGGACAGAATAATTGAAGATTCTGGTTATCCGACGTTGAGTAGCCCCCATATTGGCGTTGAGTTTGTGGACATATTCTTGGTGTTTTATTTTTCACTTGCTGAATGTCTGTTCTGCACAACGTCGGTATTTATACCACAATCATGCACCTGCATTTGGATCAATGTGGCAAAATAACGTTTGCGCCTTTTATCTATGCAGGATTATGAAAGCTGTTCCAATTTTCTGCAGGGGTTCAAACATATACCAGCGTTTTGGCTTTTATACAATTATTTATATAAAAACTTTATTTTCCCTGGTAGCTTAGGTTCTTGTATAATGTTATGAAAAAATAATTAACCTATCCACTAACACAGTGAGTCAACGGACAACTAATTTTTAGAACATAATAAAATAAATCACCATTCAAATGAAGATTACATTATTTTTTATCCTACAATGCTTACTAAATATTCACAGTTACACAATATCACAAAAAATAACAATATATACAAATTGTAGTGTGCTTTATTCATGTTGTTCAACTTATTCCATGTATTGAAAGTCATGCTGTGTTTATGTGTATGTTTCAACTCATATCTTTGATAAACTATGGTGACTATTACTACTTTATAAAAGACTATCTGTTGATATTTGATACTCATGTTACAAAATAATGTTAAAATGGAATGTATAGCAATTCAAAACAATTTTCTGTTAAGTTGAGCCAAATTAAGAAAATACACATCAAGGGATCATTCAACCAACACATATTAAAGGGATTGTAGAGGTTTTTAAAAATTTGTATGTGTATTGGTAACACTGATAACATTAATTTGCACCATTCCAATTTTCAATCAGACATCTGTTGTTCCTGCGATTCGTCAAAATTTAGTGTTTGATGACATCACTAATCGCAAAAAATGCTTCACCACATAAGGCCCTTCACGATTAGTAACTTAATAAAAAAACGTAATTTAAGCACATATGATTGGTCAATAGAGAATAAATAGTCTGATGCTGAGCATCAATGATGCACCACAATATTTTTCAAGAGGTTATTATTATGTTATTTGTTCAATATTCTTACCAAGGATTTCATGATTTGTAACTGAACACAGCAAATGTTACACAAAGATATTGATAAGCCCAATGATTAACCTCTCTAATGCATTGAACCACAAAACCATAAAATAACTTTTGACAGCTGTCATTTTTTAAGATTTCATTTTCAAACCGACACATTCCTTTACCATGATTCCTTGGTAGAAAATCAGCTTTTCTAACAGAAACCCTCAGGAAATCAAAAACGATTGTGTCCATTATTGCACTATCACAAGTTAAAAAATATAGTTTATATAACATGTTAGTCTTCTCCTGCGGGTATAGCATCCTCCAATCTCTTGATAAATTTTAATCTTAATTCTGTTAGATTATCTCCCTTTAATTGATCCTGAACAAATTTGACATCAACATCCATTTGAACCTGCAGAAAAAAACAGAATAAATATTAAATCATTTTTACTCAAACATTTTTTGGAGGAAATGGAAAATATGAGTTGTGGATCAAGGGTGCTAACAGGCTCAAGTGTGGGGTACAGGAGGGGTTTTACCATTTTAAGATGCAATGGATGTCATTGCCTTTATATAGAATTCTTTTCACACCAATCCCTCAACCAAATTTTAAGTGGATTGACTCAAAAATAAAAAAATTCCACTGACCAGAAAAATAGAAAAATTTCTCTAAATAGAGGAAATCTGTGATCACTGAAATTAAAGACAACTAGAGCCACTCGTGGCACAGAGTGGGACTTTGCAAATGTAGCAATTTGCTAAAGACCCCGAAAAAATCAACCATCGACGATAATTAGGTCAAGCGCAAGAACAAGTCTAAAGTTGATAATTTTTTATTTTTTAGAAGATTCTAATACCGGAAGTAGACGTCAGACCTCACAAATGAAAGTATCAGCAGATAGCCAAGGTCAATGACCTTTGATCTTGTAAAGGAGAAGGCCTAAAAAGGTCAAGATCAAGAGATATACGCCATTAAAATTTCAAATTGCTAACGACTATAAAACCAGAAGTTGACCTAGGACAGCAAATATAAAAGTATAAATAGATAGCCAATGCCAATGACGTTTGATCCTACAAAGGTCAAGGTCAACAAAGGTCAAGGTTAAAAATTGAAAATTTTGAATTTCCAA